ATCGAGCGGATGGACTGGACGCTGCAACGCCAACACCACGACATGACGGCGTTCTTTCGCGGCGTCAACTACGTCCCGCCGCCCTTTGACAGCACCTTCCTCGGCCAAAACTATGAAGGCGAGGACGAGGAGGATAACTCCTATGCACCATCCTCCTCCCCCGACGAGGCCGATTTTGAGGACGCGGTCGACGGGGATCACATGGACGTTGAGGACGACGAAGAAGACGATGACGCTGAGGACGAGGACGCCGTTGCCTAAACTCTTCTTTCTTTTCCTTCCTTCCTATGATTATTTTTTTAATTATTTCCATTCCGTTGTATTCCGCATTTTCTCCTTTTTCATGAATAAAAGTTTACTTTTTTACTCCAAAGTTCACTTTTAATTCTTTTTGTTAATGTCAAAAGGGGGAAGATATCAAGGTTATGCATAAATTGAGGGGGAATTATTTTTCAAATAAAATGGCATCCATTAAGGAGGGAACACTTTTTAAAGTCTCAAAGACTTCCTCATATGCATAACCTCATCTCGTTTGCCATTATCAAAAAGGGGGAAATTGTTGAAACACAGGCATGTCACGTTTTCGTACTAAAGCCGTGTTTGTTTTTATGACAGGTTTTGATAATGCCAAACCGCCGTGATCAAGTCAAACTTTGAATATACAAGGCGAAGAAGGAAGACAAGAACAAGAGCTAAAAGAAGACCAAGAATGAAGACCTTAGTCTTAGTGTCGTTGAGTCGGTCTTCATTGTGATCAAGACCGACCCAACCTTTACACCTTGGCTCTTTAGGCTAAAAACCTTCATTGCACTTCTTAAATCATAAAAATGCTTTTCAAACATGTTTAAGTCATTAAAAACACTTGGTGTTCGCCCTAACCAAAAACCAAGCCATCCAGCATTCGGGTTTCAGAAACTGGCGTTCGGCTCTCGGTTATCGGCTATGGTTTTTGGCGTCCGAACCAACCAAGTGATTTTCAACTTTTTATGATTTGTTTTTACTCTTTGGCATGTTTAAACGGTTCTCCAACAAAAACACCTTGAAAACCATCTCTCGCTTTTGGTCGTTTGACAAAAATCATTCAAAACGGCATAAAACTTGGCTAGCCGTGGTTTTCACTTAAATGACGTGGTTTTTAAAGTGTCTTACTCGATTTATTAGCCAAATACATCAAATAAGTGTTTTAAACTCTTGGTTTTTGAAAATTTTCCCTTCTAGGTGTTCTAGGATTATAATGTCTATTTGAAAAATTATTTTTATGCACAGAATTATTTTGATAACTTTTCCTAGGTTGTCTATCATGCACATTTTCATTCCTAGGTTTTTGTCTAGGTTGTCTAGTGTCCCTAGGTTGACTAGATTTTCTATTATCCTGATTTTTAACTTTCT